TGCGGAATACCAGGACTAAAATGCTTGGCCACGGCTGAAGCCTGAGAGCAAGAAATATCGTCCATTTTCCTAATTATTTCGCTATTGGAAAGTTTTACATAATTTTTGTTCAAGGAACGCATGGCTTCCAGTCATCATTGATCATTGCTACTTTGCTTTATACAGTACATAGTACTCTCATATTTGAAAGCAAATATTCAGCTATTGCATCAGTTTGCTGTTGTTGAATATCAAAGAACCACAAAAACTCAGTGGCACATACACTGATGCTCATTTAGCTAACCCACATGTCTGTGGGTCCGCTGGGAGTCAGCTGGTCTCAACTGGGCTCAGCTGGACAGCTCAGCTCTGTTCTGTGTCTCCCATCCACCTCTTGGGACCAGTGGGCTAGGCAGGCAAGTGGAAACACACAAGGTCACTTAAGGGCTAGACGTAGAAGTGCTGTTCTGTCAATTCTGCCTCATTCTATTGACAAGAGCAAGTCACATGACTGAGCCCAAATTCAAGGGGTGAAGAAATACACTCTGCCACCTTAATAGGAGGATGTGCAGAGTCATGTGGGAAGGGGCATAGATGCAGGGATGGGCAAAGAATTAGGTCAAGGATGCAGTCATCCTCAGATGTGAACAGTAAACTTAATTGACACACTTTGTTCCTATTGTTGACACTTTTTCACTGATTAGCTCTGAAGATTACCTATGTGACCTCAGATCAATGATTTTACTCAAGGTCAGGGATGGCAGGAAAGGCCTTGAAGTAATCATTGAGCTATGCCAAAGCTAGGACGCAGATCTCGGCCATGTCCTGAGGCTGAAGATAGATGTGGGTCATGCCTAGATGTTTGGCAGGGGTGGGAAGCCAGGCCTGCTGACCCCTGTGCCTCGGCCAGGGCTGTGCCCATGCCACAGACCAGTCAGCTGACACCCCAGGTCTGCCGTCTCAGTGGTACCACAGGGGCTCTTTCTCACTGCAGGGGAACATGGGTCCTGCTGCCTTCTGGCTCCTCCTCTTCCTCCTCAAGAACCCCGAGGCCCTGGCTGCCGTGCGCAAAGAGCTTGAGCAAATCCTCTGGCGAGCAGAGCAGCCTATCTTGCAGATGACTACTCTCCCACAGAAGGTTCTAGAGAGCATGCCTGTGCTTGGTGAGATGGTCACACCCTTCAGATAGCCCCCCAAACTGGGTCACATGGCCCCCTAAGTCCTCCCCAACATGGGCTCCTATGACCCAGGGTCCATCCGTGTCCTCTGACCCAAGGTCTCTCTGGGCCTTCTATCTTCTTAGACCCGGCATCTTCATGTCCCGGTCTCAGTTTCTCATGGTCTCAGGAGGAGGTTTTTGGATGCCAGTAGCAGAAAATTTAACTTCAACTGGCTGAGGCAGAAGAGACTTTATTTGGGCCACGTCACTAAAATATCCAGAGGTACCTGGTTTCTGGCACAAGTGGATCCAGGTGCTCTAACAACGTCATCAGGACTCAGTCTCTCTCCATCTCTCAGCCCCATTTTCTGCTGGGTTGGCTCCAGTCTCAGGCTGGCATAATGGTCACCAGCAACTCCAGGCTGACACGCTCTCAGCCCATGAGGGTGTGCCTCTCTGCAACACTCTTACCCAAAGTCCCAGGAATGTGTCTCATTGGCTCTTTTTGGGTCATAGACCCACTTTGAACCAATCATGAGGTTCAGAGGGTTGGGGTGCTCTGATTGACCAATCACAGCCCAATCCCAAGAGTTGGGAGTGGAGAGTAGAAGAGGGGTGGTGCCCAGAGAAAAATCAGGGAACGGTTTCCAGAAGGGGGATGTATGCTGGGCAGGCAGAAACGACCAATGTTGATGTCCCCACTCTCTCCCTAGCCTTCTCTGATATCTCACTGGCTCCCACCATCCCTCACAGCTTCTCCTGGGATCAGACCAAAATCCTCATGTCCAAGGTCCCTGAAGGAATGTAGCAATTGCACCTCATCACCTGGCCTTGTCGGTCTCACTGTGTGATGGTGGGCAAGTCATGCTCCCTCTCTGAGCCTCCTCACCTTCCTCTATAAAATGAGGGCTGGGGTGGCACTCGAGTGGGTGAGAGGACAGCTGCTGACCCTTCCCTGTCCCTCCCTGCTCCGTGCAGACAGTGTGCTGAGTGAGAGCCTCAGGCTCACAGCTGCGCCCTTCATCACCCGGGAGGTCGTGGTGGACCTGGCCTTGCCCATGGCAGATGGGCGGGAATTCAGCCTGCGACGTGGTGACCGCCTCCTCCTCTTCCCATTCCTGAGTCCCCAGAGGGACCCAGAAATCTACACAGACCCAGAGGTAAATGGCATACCAGGGACTGGGGGGGAAAAAAATCAGTGGCTTCCAGGTCAGCCCAGCTCTGCTCTTTGCTGTGTGACCTTGTCCAGATGACCTCACCTTCTGTGTCTCTGGCTCCTCCCCTGTGAAATGAACCTCATAATAGCACCTGCCTCATAGGGCTGTCAGGAAGACTAAATGAGATCATGGAAGAAAGGCCTTCATAGTGCCTGCCACACACACAGTGAATGCTTTTTAAATGATAGCTGAGCGATCTTCCATTTTTCAGAATGTTATGTCAGCTTCTCAACACTTTTCCCTCTCCGTGGACTTTGAGATGGGGCAAGCTTTCCCAATTTCTAACCGATTTGGGTACTTACTGTGTGCCAGGCCCTGTGCTATATGCTCATCTATCCATCTATCAGTTTATCTACCCAACTGCCCATCCACCCATCTACCCATCCATCCATCCATCCTTCCACCTGTCTGCCCATCCACCCACCCATCCACCCACCCGTCCGCCCACCCTTCCATCTCTCAGTCTATACACTGGTCCATCCAACCATCTTTCATTCAGCGCCTGCTCTGTGCCAAGCCTTGTACTCAGATACAATCCTCATCTTCACACTCTACAATGTAACCAAAGGAAATGGGGCATTCTCCTTTTTAAAAATAATTTTATTTTATTCTAAGTTACAGTCATAATATGTACTTATAAAATTGAAATATATAGACGTACATATTTAAAAGTAAAACATTTTCTTAATTCCCCTTCCTCTTCAGTTCCACAGTTCCCTAATGATGGTTGGGCATGTGTCCTTTAAATTATTTTTATGCCTTTACAGACATCCACACAACATGCTCACACACATATGAATAGATAGGTGTGTATATAGGATCATATAATGCACGCTCTTCTGAGACTTGCTTTTTCTACAAGCAGCCAGTCTTAAAAATTCTTTCCATGTCAGCGCACACACAGACCAACTCAACCTTCTAAATAGCTGCTATTTTTTAAAGCCAATCCCCTATCAATTTACCTTTATATGGTTTCCAGTTTTTCCCTCTTATAAACAAGGCTATGATGAACATCCTACCTTTTTCTTCAGGCAGGCGTGCATGTTGTGGGGATGAAGTCAGACACGGGCCTTCTTCCTATTCCAGGTGTTTAAATACAACCGATTCCTGAACCCTGATGGATCAGAGAAGAAAGACTTTTACAAGGATGGGAAGCGACTGAAGAATTACAGCATGCCGTGGGGAGCAGGGCACAACCAGTGCCTAGGGAGGGGTTATGCCATCAGCAGCATCAAACAGTGAGTGTGGGGGAAGGGAGGGTGGGCAGGGAAGGCTCCTGCTCTGTATGGTTGGCACTGGCCCTCCTCTCCTGTCAGCCAGGAGAAGGGTTTAGGGCAGAGGTTCCAAAAGGCTGGCCCCTGAGTCGTCTCCTCCCCACAAATATATTTATTTTTGCTTTAAAAATGTATGCTAACGTTTAAGAATCAGAAGAGCTCAGATAAAAAGCCAGATGTCTGATTTCTTTGGAAATAATCAGATCTGGCCACAGGTTCTCCCCTCCAAGGCTGGTGCCCAAATACCAAACACTCAGAATGCCAAACAGCGGACATTCTGAGCAGCTGACCGTCTGTTTGTAGCTGTCGTGCATGTTCGGAGCCTCTCGGCAGGAACCAGCCAAACGTCATGGTGCCCTTTGGTTATTTTAATACCTCACGCATGCTCCTCCCTCAACCCCAAGAGCCTTGGCCGCTAGAGCACAAACAGATTGGGCCAGGGGTTACGACATCCGTCCTGTTCTTCTGTTCAGCCCCTGTGTCATCATAAGATGGGTGACCTTCTGTGCCCCTGTTTCCTCAACTGTAAAATGGGGGTACTGGTCATACTGCATCCCAGGGCCTTTCAAGACAAAGGAATCGGATCTTTCTAAGTACTTAATCTACTGCCTGGCTCACTGTAGGCACTTAATAAATGTTAATTATTATTGTAGTTACTAATATCACTATTGTTAATGTGCAGGCATTATGCGAAGTGAATGGGCACATTGCATTACTCTCTCGACCTCAGTTTTTTCAAACAGTTAAATGGAGATCATTATACAGCCGCTTCTGCTCTAACATTTCTCGCGGGTTCCTAAAAATCACTGTGCCATGCGAAATCATGTGATAAAAACCACAGGGATTGTGGGAAAAATGGGGTCAGGGCCCAACAGTCAAAAGCCTCATCAATGACACATTGAAAAAAATCACCTAGGAAAAAATAGTAGAACAGGTTTACACATGTGAAATGGTTACAAAATACCTAAGTGCTGTAGTAAATGTGGCACTTTACTTTGAAAATGACCTGAAGTTTGCTGTGGAAGTGGACAGTGGGTGGGGTTGCTGCTATGAGCTACTGTGAAATATGAAAGGAGGGTTATCTGACATGGAGCACCTGATATGAATGGTGTGACACAACACCCCCACACACACCACCCCCCGCCCACCCCGTGAGCTGAGAGCTGAGGTCACTGGTGGATAGAGCTTTGGTCAATGAACACGTGCGTTTTGTGAATTACTGCTCAGCTCGGTTCAGCTGGGTGCGGGGTTTTGCATTCTCTTCGTGTCCCTCGTAGATGAAATTGCTCATAAGCTAACTCAAAATTTGTGTTACTCTTCATTCGTACCCTAATATACCGATCACACTGGAACAAACTCATGTGTTCAAAACAAGTGGTGTATAGCAGAACGGACAATAGCTCCTACCTCAACATCTTTGGACGAATAATGAGAGCGAGTGTACACTAAATGCTTTGCACAATGTCTGGCTTGTAGTGTTTCAGTAATTAGCTAATTTGTTATTATTTTTATCTCAGTCATCATGACAACCTTGCTAGGTAGGTGACAGTCTAACACTGACTCTAGAGAGGCCAAGTTATTTGCCAGGTCATATACCAGGTGAGTGGAGGTGCCAGGATCCAGATCTAGGTGTGGGTAGAGACCCCCGCCCACGCTATGTAAACTCACCCTCTAGCACCCTGCAGGTTTGGAAAGGACACATCCCACCTCTTGGATCAGATGGGGGAACCGCAAGCCCAGAGTGGGAAAGAAACTGGGGGGGGGTCACACAGCCTTAAGGGTCAGAGCCCAGTTCTGCGCCCAGCTCTCCTGTCCAGAGCGTTGACTTCACTCTATCCTTGTCTTCCCTCTTGACGCACTCAGTAAGCGTAAAGCTCCCAGCATGCTGCGCCTGGGGCGTGGTGGGGGCTGGTGGTGCAAGCACGGTAGGTGAAGAGCCAGTCCTGACCCTTACTGATGCAGGCGACGCTAAGTAAAATAAGGCAGGTGGGCAGGAACCAGTTAGCATAAGGTAAGGCTGCCACCTCATTTATGGGCACGCTGATTACATCATATACGCAGTTTGTATACTTGGGAGAGTTTTCCAGAAGATGGCAGTAAAGAGTGCTTGTTCTTGCAAAGCTGGTACATTTTGACAGTTTTCCCGTAGACACAGTCAAGTGTCTTGAGCAGCGGTTCTCAACCTGTGGGTCACAACCCCTTTGGGGGTCGAACGACCCTTTCACAGGGGTCGTCTAAGACCATCAGAAAACAAAAAGATATTTACATTACGATTCATAATAGTAGCAAAATTACAATTATAGAGTAGCAACGAAATATGTTATGGTTGGGGGTCTCACCACAACATGAGAGACTGTATTAAGGGGTTGCGGCATTAGGAAGGTTGAGAACCGCTGGTCCTGAGGGAAGGGTGCCTATTTCTAATGTCACAAAGGCAGCCTATGGTTAAAGCAACAGGCCAAGGCAGACGTAAGGGTTCCAGGAGGTTTTTGGGGTGCTGGGAGGAGTATAGTGGAGGGGTCAGGAAGGGTCCCTGTCCATACTAATCAGGGGAAGTTAGGCTATGCTGCTGTAACAAGCACCCCCCGACCCCCAGTCTCAGTGGCTTGTCACAACACAGGTTTAGTTCCCACTCACACCAAGTCAGCTGTGGGTTTGGGAGGCTCCTCCCCAGCCCATGCAGAGATTCAGGGGCCAGGGTCTTTCCATCTTCCCACCCCATCACCTCCACACGAGTCCCACACAGCTGCCAGCCAGGAGGGAAAGCTGGAGAATTGTGCACTGGCTCTGAAATGCTTTGATGTGGAATTGACACGCGTCACTTCTGCTCGCATCCATCACCTGGAGCTAGACCACAGACCTGCCTAACCACAGAGGGTGGCATGTAGAGGAGCTCAGGGGCATTTGGTGAGCAGCAAACACCTGTGCTCTGAGTTGGGGTCAGACTCAGGAGGAAGCCACTGCTCTCCTGCCTGATTCCGGATGTGACCTCACGCCCCCTCTCCTTCACACCTTCCACACCTCTCTCTGCAGATTCGTGTTCCTTGTGCTGGTGCACTTTGACCTTGAGCTGATCAACCCGGACACGGAGATCCCGGAGTTTGACCTCAGCCGGTATGGCTTCGGGCTGATGCAGCCAGAACACGATGTGCCCGTCCGTTACCGCATCCGGTCGTGAGCTCTGGGAGCAGACAGAGCCCCACGTGCTGGCCTTCACCCAACCTGTCCCCCCGATCACCCAACTTTCTGTGTCTGTATCTGTCCTGGGTGCAGAGCTTTGAACACCCAACAGTGGTGGCATTAGCACTTTCCTGCTTTTTTTCTAGAAGGTTGGTCCAGGACAGGAGGAAGAAGGGAAGCTGAGAGAAGGTATAATTCCAAAATGAGGCTCTTTCTGCTCCCGGCTTACCTTGCGATACCCACGAAAGCTAGGGCAGACAGGGCAGTATAGGAGTCCTGACTGCCCTGCCCCCAATTTCCAGAGGGGCCACCATTCAAGTCCTTGACAATGGTATGGTCAAGGCCTTAACCACTCAAAGCCGATGTCGACCGTAAAAAAAGCCAATCGGGACCCTGCAATGTGTCCCTTGAAATAAGCCCTATTCCCAAAGTATTTTAAACTAGCTGAAGCCAAAGGAGTCTTTAGAATACCTGCTTCCCCAGGTGTCCCGTTCCCTCATCTGTCCGTTCACACTGATATGTGAGAATACGCAGGAGGGTTTTCCCGAAGCTGGAGCAACCAAGATATAGATCGTGAGCACCCCCTGACAGGGGGCTCTGAGGAGTGGAGCTCTGTGTTCCAGACTCACAGGCTCCAGATGGGATGAGCTTTGCCAGTGCTGAGACTCAGGTCGGGAGTAAGAAAGACACAGCCCCCACAGGAGGGCCTTGATGGAAAGAAGCAGCCAGGCTCCTTGGACTTGGCACGCCAAAAAAAAAGAGAAGTTGGTTTCCTACATTCTAGCTCAGAAGCTCCAGCTGTGGGCATGACCCAGTCTGCAGACCTGTTTTGTGTGGCCTACATTTTTGAAAAGTAATACGTTCGTTGTTTTCATATTATCTTTGAGAGAGTTGACGTAAAAGGTCTAGCTTCTCTTAAAAACTTGGAAGATCTGGCCACACTGGGCCCATATTCCCAAGGGCAGCCGTTGCCCAAAGCTAAGAAGCAGCTGCCTCCATTTTCTGGGGCATGTGCACTCTGGTTCACCAGGGTTTCTGCTTGATGGGAATTTCCCTTCCTGCTTCTCCATTCACAGTAACTCCTGGCCCCTGAAGCCATTCGAGTTTGAGAAACCTTGTTCTGTCTCTTAGAAGTGACTTGATAGGAGCTGACTGGTTCTCAGACCAATGGTCCATTCTCCTGGGTACACCACCCTCCGAACAAACAGATCAATGAAGAAAACTTGCCTTTCCATCAGCTTAGGAAAAACAGCTCAAAGAGAAAAATTGCCTAGAAAACTGTATGATGATGGCAAGTATTATTAGTATTAGGTCCTGCTTATTGAGCACCCTCTAAATGCCTGTGACAGCCACAGTAGACATAGTATTTCTACTTCTCACAGCATCTTTGCAAGGAGAGGATGGTTATGCCCTTTTTATAGGTGAGGAAACAGGCTCAGAGTGGTGAAGCGACTGCCTGGAATTAGCTCATAAGCTCATAGAATTCTGCAAACAGACTTATTGTCCCAATAGCAAATGCCTTCCTTGAGTTCAAGGGGATGATGGAGGGACAGTTAGTTCTGTTTGACATCAGAGCCAAAGGCACGCACCGGTGGGTGCCACTCATGAGATTCGGACTCACATACACACATACACACATAGTTAGGTCCCTTTAGCTTTAACTGAGGAGCAGAGGGGACCTGAGATCTCCGAATGTTTCAGGGGCTCGTCTCTTCCCTGACCAGTACCAGGGTTTGGGGGCTTCCCTGGCCCTCAGCTTCCAGCCGCCCCCCAGGATTCCCAGATAGACACTGTGATTGGCAGGAGGTGGGATATCCCCAGGGAAACCCATCTTCATGCCTGGGTGACCCCCGCTGCTGCCTGCTTCTTAACTCCACAGGAAATCAGGGCTGGCAGCCTCCTGTGGGAGGATGGGGCCGGTTTCCATGGCAACCCTCTGCAGCCTCATCCTGGCTTGGAAGGGAAGGAAGAAGGCCCGCAGAAATAGCTGCAAAAGATCTCTCTGCGAGGCGGCTACCCTGGTGTGCTGGGGGAAAGCCCTTCTGACTCCCCTCTTCCAAATCAGGGCTGCTTTGTCACTGAGACTAGATTCTCACCTGTGTTCCAAAAAGGGCCAATCGCCTTTAAAGGAGGCACCTCCCTGGAGCCACAATCATTAAGAAGAGACAGTTCTCACCTGGTGCCAGAGATATTGAAGCACAGCATAGGAGACGATGATTTAAGCCTTCCCTTGTTTTAATTTTTCTTTTTCTTTCTTCTTTTAAGCAAATACAAGTTACAGAGAAAAGAGGGAGAGACAAGTGGGTTAGCTCCCTGCTACAGGTTTGTTAGAAAGGTACCCAGGTGTCTTTGTGTCTCTTCATAGCTTGCTTTAGAATCACGAAATTGCAAGACGTGTTAGAACCCTCTTAGGTTGACCTAATGAAGTGTTTCCTTACCATTGTCGTTATTATTATTATTATTTTTGCCATATTTTATATGTTGTTTACCAGATATTTTCCTTTAACCAGACTCATTTTTTTAAGCTTATATTTGTTCATAAAGGGAACTTATTTTGATCACTGCCAGTGATGGGCAACGTGTATCATTTGTTGCCAAAAATAGAAAGTGACTGTGAAACATAAATTTTCTGGGTGTCATGCTGGTGTCACCAAGCCTCAGTGCCTGAGATCTGTGTCTTCTCTGTTACGAAATGAGACGAACAAGTGTTTGAGTGGCATTAAAGCCAGGCCAGCACCACCTTGAGACTTTCTCCTTGACAGTCACGAGTTGAAAAAGACAGGAGGAGTAAGCTGCTCACCACGTGGGTCACCTGTACAGTACGCCTGGTCTGAGTGCCCACCAGAGTCTTCTATCACCAGTGGGCCCCAAGCAAAGTGAGCTAATGACATCCCACCTGTCCGTTCTCCAGGTGGAGAAACAGGCTCTGAGAGTTGAAGTGTCTTGCCAAAAGTCATTGATTTTGATGATGTTGTTTTTTTATTTTTTAAACAAGCATAGTGTTTGGAGAGGAGCAGTGATTATTATGCTTGCTGTTTAAATAAAGAGTTCTATTTTCCTATAATATTGTCCAGTGGAAACATGCTGAAATATATTAAACTATTCTTGTATTTGGAACTGCCTCTGAGTGTGATTCAGTTTGAGTCGGCTGTGTCCAGAAGGACAAGGTTAACTCCTGGGAAGGGAGCACACAGCACCTACTATGTACTTGGCTCTGGGACAGGTTCTTTAGAAGCAAGTTATGCCTCCAGCCACCCTCCAAAGCATATGTCATTATCTCCATTTTTACCGAGGAAGAAACTGAGGGTCAGAGAGGTGAAGTAACTTGCCCAAGATCAAGTAGCTAATAAGTGGTAGACACAGAATTCAAGGGCAGGCCTCTCTGCCCTCTGAGACCATATTCAGGATCTTCCCATCAATGATCTTCCTGGTGGCAGAAGAAGGACGGGGTCCCCCCCACCCCGCCCCCTCATAGAGGACCTTGGGGTGGAGGCTCACAACCTGAAAGCAGAAAAGTTCTCTTAAAAATTCACTGGATATTCTCTAGTCTTCACCATACTGTATTCATTTATTAAAAAAAAAAAAGCGGGGTGGTGGTAGTGTGTGTGTGTGTGTGTGAAATGCACTAAATTAGATTTGGGGAAAATAAAAAAGAAAATTGCTTTTTTTCTCCCAAATATTTGAGTAAAAAATAATGTCCCCAGGCAAATGTCCCTCACATCAGTTTCCTCATCTGTGAGGGGGCCATGGAGGCACATTTGTTGGGATTGGAGTTGGCTGAGTGATGGTCATCTCAACTAACATGGAAATGTTACATTCAACACAGCAGACATTTGTTTCTGTGTCGTGCAGATACAGGAGACCAGAGGCGATATGGCATCTCCACAATCACCAGGCCCCTTTCTTTGGGTCCCTTCAGCATCTGTAACCAGTAGTTTCCACCTCAGGGTCCGGTACTGCTGCTTGAGCTCTGGCCATTTTGTTCACATTCCAGACAGCAGGAAGGAGCAAGGAACAAAGAAGAGAAAAATCTTCTGCTTCCATCCCATTGGTCAGAACTTAGTCACATAACACTCCTTGCTGCACCGCAAGCTGGGAAATATAGTCTTTCTCTCCAGAGGGGCACTGTGCCAGGTACTGAGGGAATGGGGAGAAATAGGGAATAACTACTAATGGGTATGGTGTTTCTTTTTGGGGTGATGAAATGTTCTAAAATTGATTGTGGTGAGGGCTGCACAGTTCTGTGAATTTACTAAAAACCATTGACTTGTACACTTTAAATGGGTGAATTGTATGGTATATTAATTATATCACAATAAAAATGGTATATTTTATAAAGTACGTATTTTGAGCACATCACATGTACTAGGTACTGTGTTAGGCAATGGAGACCCAGCAGTGAGTAAAACAGATTTCCCTCCCACCCCCCCAAAAAAATCCCTGCCCTCATGGAGTGACGTTCTCATGGGGGAGGTGGCAATAGGCTAGCTAGGTAAATAAGTAAAATATAAAATATTGCAAATGGTGATAAGTGCCATAAAGAAGAATAAAGGAGAGAAAGGGGACGGGGAAGTGAATTCTAAATGGAGTGGTGAGGGACGTCCTCTCTAAGGTGACCTTTGAACCGAGCCTAAAAAGAAACGAGAGGAGTAAACCATGTGGGTACCTGAGGGAAGAATGTTCTAGAAAGATGAAACAACACATGCAAAGGCTCTGAGGTAAGAAGCTCCCCAGCAGTTTCCAGGAACAGGAAGGAGGCCAGTATGGCTGGGAGCCATGGAGGGTTCTGCATTGAGAGGGGACATGATCTGATTCGTATTCTAGCAGGATCCCTGTGTGTGTGTGTGTGTGTGTGAAGAATGGGTTTTATGGAGGGCGGGCAGGAAGCAGAGTGACAGGCGAGGAAGAGCCTGCAATAGTCCAGGAAGGTCTCTGCCCTCCTAGATTTTATTTTTAGGCAGAAGAGACAGCAAGGAAGCAAGTCAACATAAATACAATGTCAGTTACTGAGAGGGCAATGTCAGCACAGTGGAATGTGGTTGTAACCTGGAGACGGAGATGGCCACGCCCATGGAGATGGTCAGGAAAGATCTCTCTCCAAAGAGAAGGCATATGAGCTGAGGTCTGAATGAAAGGCAGCCAACCTTGCAAAGAACTAGGACAAGACCATTCCAGGGGAAAGAAACAGCAAAGGCCCTAAAGAGGAAAAGGGCTTGGTGTATTTTTGTTTTTAAGATTTTATTGGGGAATTGGGGGAGGGAAACAGTGCTGGGGAGTCGGGGAAAGGGGAACAGACAAGTTGCTGTCCTTTTGTTCTTCAGTCTAGTTGTGGAGGACGTCGCTTCACTGGCCCATGTTGGTATTATCATTGTGCTCTTCCTGGGTGAGGCAAATTGGTCGCCGGCCTCCAGAAGGCTGCTCACAGTAGCTCCTGGCAGCCCACACCAGCTGCCGGCCACTCACGCTGGCTGCCAGCCACACACAGTAGCTTATGGCAGCCCACTGCAGCAGGGGCTGCAGCCTACGCTGTTGCTGATGACTCACGGCAGCCCAGCTCCAGGTTGAGCTGTTGTTCAGCATCTTAGCTGTAGAGGGCGCAGTGTCACTGGCCCTCATGTGGGATCTGAACCAGGGCCCTGCTGCTCAGAGCTGGCATCCCAAACCAGCTCTTAACCAACGGCGCCACTCAGCTGGCCAGGGCTTGGTGTATTTGAGAAACAGTGAGAATGCCAGGGAGGCTGGGATGCTGGCGCCGGGGGAGGAGTGGCAGGAGACGTGCCTGGTGTATGCCTTGGCAGCCATGGTGAGGATCCTGGTCTTCATTCTAATTACCCGGGAAGCCATTAGAGCGTTTAAGTAGGAAAGTCAACAACAGCTTTCCTTTAAATGGGATCAATTTAGCTTCATAAGAATTTCATTCCATCGTCTTTTTTTTTTCTTCTCATTCCATGGTAGAACAGCGAGAACTCAAATACCTTTAATGCACTGGTGTTTGGGAATTGTGGCCATTTGAAAAGTGATCCAGAGGGATGTGTCTGCGGGGAAGGAGGGTGATGAATGGGGAGTGTGCTATCCTCTTGCCCTGGGACCTCAGAGTGGCCTAGGAGAAACAAGGCTGGTGTTACCCACATGCAAACCTGGGAAAGAGGATCCTTGCAGTGAACAGGGTCTGTGTGCCTTTATTTCAGGTGTTCTGAGGGCTGACCACTGTGGGGAAAACGCTGATTGCCTGGCCAAGAGCCAAATCCCCAACCTCCTTGCTAAAAGATATTAGGCAGCCAAGTGCTAAGAGAAAATAGGTCCAACCTCTAAATCAAGACCTGGGGCCAAGCCAGATATAGGTATCAGGCACCTCTCGCCAGTGATTGGACTAGTGGTAGTCATGTGACCCAGCACAGGCCAATGAGATGGTCAGGGAAGTCTGTAGGAAGCTTCAGAAACGGTGGGAGAAGTTCCTCCTTCCTCTCTATCTTGGAGTTGTCATGTGGGAATGTGGCCATGGCAGCCACCTTGTGATCATGAAAATAAGAGAATGTTGGAGAAATCAGCCAGGAATCCTGAGACCTTTAAGCTGTTGCTCTGATAGACCCTGGCATCCTCTGCTTCTGGATTTTGTGTTATGAGATAATAAACGTCGTTACTGTTTAGACTCTACTTAGAAGTTGTAGACCATGGTGGCTAAGAGCACAGGCTCTGGCCTGGGTTTGACTCTCTGCTGAGCCACTTAATAAGACCAGGGCAATTTGGGGCATCTCCCTGTGCCCCAGTTACTTCACCTGTAAAATAGGGATAATGGACAATGATAACATCTCCCCCATAGGGTTTTTGTGAGCTTTAAATGAGTTAATATTGTCAATCACAGCCAATGGAGGAGAGAGAGAAACGAGTATCCTAAGTTAGCCTCATAAAAGAGTTTTTCAGAGGAAAGAGAAACTAACCCAGACTATGGGGAGGCAGAAAACAGTGACACTGGATCTGGGTTCTGCGTGGGGGAAATAATGGTTAGGATCGGGGAAGCTTTCTAAGCGGCGGACACAGCATGGTCACAGACTCTGTATCAGTAATCTGTAGCTGTGTAACATACAACCCCAAAATGTGGCTTAAACTGAAAATATTTTACTGTTTCTCATGGTCCTGTGGGCTGGCAGGGACTTAGCTGGATGGTTCTTCTGCTGGTGTCACTCGGGTTAGCTCTCAGGTAGTTGCAGTCAGATGTCAGGTGGGCTGCAGCACCTAAGATGCTGCCTTGGCAGGGGCCACTGATAGGCTGTGCTCAGCTGGGATGTCAGGGTGGCTGAGCCGCTCTCTCTTTCTGGGGCTTCTCACTCTCCATGTGGCCTCTCCACATGGTCTCTTTGGCAGTGTAGCAGGGGTCAGACTTGTGCCTTTATAGGTCTGTCCTGGTAGTTGGGGGAGGTGGGGTTAGAGGAAGGATAAAAGTGGGGGAGGGAGATCAGAGAGGAAACAGATGAGATCAGGAAAGGGTGGACAAGGTTGATGAAGAGGAGATAGAAGAGACATTAGTCCTCAAAGGCAGAAGAGCTGGATTTTAATGAAATATTATCTTAGGAGAATCAGTTAATTAGTGCTTGATCTCTGTGGCTTTGATTTCTTCCTTTTGCTGACTCGCTCCTTTTTACTGTATCTTGGAGGTCCCAGGCCCTTCAGTGCGGAAGAGATATTAGTTTACCTCTAATTGCTCTGCTGGAAGCCCGTGCCTCAGTCCATCCTGGCCCTGCATTTCATCATTGTTTGGCCACTAACCTGGGAGTTAATGGCTTTGGCAGAGTCCAAGCCACAAAAGGGCTTAATGGAATGCATGTACGTTTACCTATCTCCCTCTGTGGGGACCCTCTGGTGGTGCCCAAATTTCCTCCCAGAGAGGGATCCCAAGAGACCATATCAGGGCTTAGCACAGAACATTACATGTAGTAAACACTCCAAAATGTCAGATCGCAGATGGGTGGGAATGGTGGAGTGGGTGAATTCAAGGGTGGGTGGGTAGGTAGTGGGCAGATGGATGGGTGAATGGATAGGTGAGTGGGTGGGTGAGTGGTGGACATATTTGGGATGGGTAAGTCATTGGGTGGAGGGATGAATGAGTAGGGTAGGTAAGCATTGG